ACCGACCGTCTGACAGACAGACAGACAGACAGACAAACTGACCAACCAACGGAGCTTAAGCTTACATTTGAGCCTGTCTATGCAGCCATACTTGACAAGCTTTCTCGTCCTACGAAATAAAGCACAACAAGAATGCTATTAGGTGCTTGCTCAAGCATTTTACAAAATGATCGTTAAAAATCGGTTTTCTTTTAAGAGTTGTTCAGGGACCAACATGGTCTCAACATCAGTGTGAACTATGTATGAGCGACTCCACAAACGTTCTACTCCACTAAATGTCACCTCTCTAAAGAGTTTGCTCCTCTGCCACTTGCTTCTATACAACAATAAGAAGAAGAACTCAAATAGATACTGATTTCTCTGGAAATTACCTGGATGTGAACTAGAATATCATCTAACATTTTCCTGCGTGATTTATATTCTTGTCGATGTCTGTGCAGTCGTTCATAAACCTCTGCACCTAAGATACACACATTAAACAATGAGACATAGGAGTAAAGGTCGTAAAGAGCTGGATTAGTTGGTTCAAGACAGTTACTTCAGTTGCCTGATGATTGCTTTGGAAGAAGCATGAAACTCTGAGTAGCAAGTAAGTGTCTTGGACCAAATAATCCAGCTAATTACTTCTATTATAATAATAAATTGCTCTAGTTTAACTATTGAGCACTCTAATAGCCAATGAGGATTTCTACCCGCTATTTGGTCACATTAAATAATGCATATTCATAATGCAGATTGAAATAGTTCGATTGACATCAACTGAAAACTGTCAAGGTATTTTAGCCCATCAGCTCACACTTGATAAGGACCACAATTTCCCTTTATAAGTTTGTTTAAATTCAGCACAATTTTATAATTGTTACCTCATATTTTGCGAGCAAAATAACACAGTTAAATAGCACTCTGGAGGGATTGTGTCCCACGCATACTGATATATAAGCACAGGAGAATAAAAGTGACAAGGATAATAACAATTATCATCTACGTAGAAGATATTGCCATGAAAAGCCACCTTATTCTTTGCACTGACGTCAATACAAATTTTTGACAATTGATAAGGAAAATGTATAAACGTGATCTTCAGAATTCTGCATACAAGTACCTTTTCTAGTGCAAATTCCTGCTGATCTGTATTCTTGTAAACTGACAATTTCTTTCTTAAGAAAATTTTCCACTGAAAGTAAAACAAAAACAATGATATCAGCATCAACAATTTCCTTCTTTCAATTAAGGTAATATTTTAGACTCTTGATCCTTTTGTTGAACTTACTTAGTAATCCTTGGACAAATATTTCATGTTGGTCAGGTGAATGAAGACGAGCAAAAGGCCTGAGGCTATCACGCAGATCCCTAGAGAGAAACAATTATTTAGTATTTAATCCACAACAGCGGTGACTCCATAACAGCTTTACCTTGGAAGGTAATGAAATGCAAAACTAGCAAAGAAATTCTTGAACTTACTTTCCAAAATATAGACTACAAGAGGTATATCAGGTGTTTATTATTAGAACTGCAAGCCTGTTCAGAGGAACATGAGAAAACCTTACTAAAGCACAACAAAAGGAGACTATGCAGGCTGAGTACAGTTACTGTAATGACACTCAGCTATGATAACTTGACATTTTTTGCACATTTTTTTGGTGACTACAGAATTAAGGTTTTTCATATAATGCACAAGATTTGCATTTTTACAGTATGAAAATGCTAAATCTCTTGTTAAGTCACAATACAAAAGGTGCAAAAATCATCAAGTGTTCACAGTTTGAATGGCCTCACTGCAAAGACATTAACTTTGAAAACACTAGACAGCATCATTTTCCCGATATTCAAAGAGCACTCAGCTAATCAAGTGATCTGATGTATTTTTCAAAGAAAGCAGTCCTGTCTTGAGTACTGTGGCACTGGTGAATAAATGGTGAATTCTTCAGTGATCACTAACAGACCAAATCTCAACCCCTCACATACCTTTCTGCTTTTGATTGCTTTCTTTCCACAGCTAAATAAAATAAAAATAAATTAACAAAAGCTCATTATAACAGAATTTAATTCCCAAAACGAACATCTTGAAACTCAATATCAAACTTCCTGAAAACTCACAAATAGTTATATACCAGCAACTAAAAACTTAATAACCCATACTTTGTAATTTCCTGATGTTGATAAGTCCATATTTTCTCACAATGCTGTAAACAGACAGGGGAAAATGTCAATTTTATATACCTGCCACTCACTGAGTTTACCAAACCTAACCCAGGAAAAGGGAAAAAGGCAATAAAGGCGTGGCTTTCTGAGAGCGGGATTCCAGGAGATGATTCATTTTAACAATGAAAAATTTATGCCTATTTTCCTCAATGTCCAAACAAACACATGGATATAGAGTTTGAAGTGAGACATTGCATGATAAGTGTGTTGGTTTGAAAAGAAAGATGTAGGTCTACTCCAACTCCAGAGCACACAAATGAGCCTGTAAGATCTGGTCACATTATAATCATCTGGTGCGCTAACTCCATCATGTAGCCTAAATGTCAACTCACATAGTCAAATTTGTGGGAATGCAATTTAAACACTCATACTTCACTTACTGTTTTCTGTAGAATCTCTGTCGAAGTCGTGACAGAAAGATCTCAACAGCAGCAATTTTAAGTTCTGCAAATAAAAAAAAAATTGGATTTTCATTAAAATTATTTGGGTTAGCAATTTCCTTTTTCACACATTAAATGGCAAACAGTATTATAACATGGCGCACGCTAGTCCTATCTAATTCCTATCGAGCCATCAGGAACGAAATCTCTATAAGATGACGTGTGCAGTTTCAATTTAGCTGCAAAATTTCCGTCAAGTTTAGTGCTAAGTTCCATTTGTTTAAGTTTCAGCAAAGTGAAGATTACTCTGAACAATCCAAATTCTACTTCAAGCCTTTGCCTTTTGCCAAGCTAAGATGTTTACTTAAACATGAGTATTTTGACTTTGTTTGTCTACATTTTCATTGAGTATTCTTGACTTTGTCTGCCTACATTTTCATTATAATTCATTCAAAGAAGCAAATTTTTCATTGACGCTTTTAGAAACCTGGTTTTAAAAGTGTTTTCGCTCAACCGTTGCTCAACTGATTGTGGCGTATTAGGATCCTAATGACCTTTGTTTTCCTTCACTGTGCAATGTGAGAACTTTGTAGTCAATCACAAATAAGACATGTTTTAGTGCCCAAGTTGTTGTTGCCATGTTATAAAAGAATTGGTTCATGCTTTTAGCTGTGTGTATATTGACTTATGGATGCACTTGGGAAGTTTGGAGAGCAATCAAGAAGCTAAAGCTGCTCTCGGCTATCGCCTTGAGCAACTCTTACGCATCTTTCATGTGCTCCAAACTTTCTGCATGCATCCAGAACTTGATATACGCACGCTAAGCATGAACCAATTCTTTAACATCATTATTAAAATGGTCATATAACTTGATCATATTGTGTATGTCTCACCTCGAAGAAGGTCTGAATCAGTAGAATCAAATTCTATGTCTTTTATATCAACCTCAGCATAGTTGTCATATTCCTGAAGACATGAACAAAAAATGTTTAATTAAAAACTATTCATTACAAGACTAGAGAAAGCTAAAAAGCAGTTTTGAACATCTCCTGACAGTTAACTTTACGTCTATGTTACATTGTTAAAGGAAGAATCAAATGAATGTAAGCTGCATAAGGTGTATGCACACGGGTATTTAAAGGCCAAAATATCAATATGTGAGCTTTATTAATAGCAATGAAATTCTGTTTCTTACCACATCAAAATCTCCCCTACATGGCATGTAACCTGACATTTCCAAGCTACGTGCGGAATCCATTGGAGGCCTTGGTGGGTCATCCATTGCTGTAAAAAGATGGGAAAGATATGTTTTATTCCTATCCAAAACACAAGGCAATAGACTGTCATATCAGAATGACCTTTATTCAGACTTTGATGCACAAATTAAAAAAAAAATATTCAATACATCTGAGACTTGTGAATATCCTACATTTAAACCAGGATTTTGCACAAATAAAAACAACTCAGCAGGAAACCCAAAAGTGTGACAGCTTTTACATTTAAAAGAAAATAACCTTCCAACAAATCATGCAACAGTAATCATCAACACCTTTGAATGGAATGCCAGCAGAGGATGGTGATGGTGTACAGGCAGGTACAACTGGCTTCAGTTCTAAAAAAAAGACAAAAAAAAACTAAATGCAAAGTGTTGGAAATCCAGGAATATAAGGTTTTCAATATCCCTATGTTTATGTTTCTTGAATGAATCAAGAGCATATCCAACAAGCTTTTCAGACCAGTGCATAAAGCATAAAGCTAACTTGTTGAAAGCTTGGTTTCCACTATATATACCACCATTCCTCTTACTTTAAGTCAGAACACTGTGATATTTGATTTCTAAACATGCTTTGTTTTTATCAGCTGAAAAAAGGACACTACCATACCTGGAATCTGAAGAGCTTCACAAGGTTCATCAATGTAACACCTCATGTAATGTTCTTCACACTCTGTACATAGGATTACAATTACCATCACTGATGACATTAAACAATAGATTGACTGCTTAATTATAATTTAGGATAAAGTTAAATATGTAAGTTCTACAGGTACTGTAATATCACAAGAAAAGTTTGTTATTCTTTCTTACAAAATCTAGACCCCTAAGAGGGCTGCATCAATGAAAGAACATTTCAGTCTTCATACAGAATTATTTGCTACATATTGCATGTACTATTAATAAAATAAAGTAATGTCAAGTACTTAGACCACTTTGAGGACCTCAAGAGGCAAGATGAGCTGGGCTTGAAAAAAGTGCTGTCCCGTCGCCCACAATGAGTAGATTTTCCTTCTGGGCAAGTAACTTGTTATTCTCACCTGCCCAATAGGCAACGGATCAGGCAAGTCGTCTGCCAACTAAATCATTAACAAAGCACACTAAGACTTGCCCAGGACAAGCAACATTTGAGAGCTACTTGTCCAAAGGGCAAGCTGGAATTTCCCTTTTTCAAGCCTTGATGAGGAAATGTTTTAATACTTGCCTTCTTCTGTTTTACTCTGAACTTGTTTAGCAACCTCTTTCCTACAACAATTAAAAAAGCAATTATTACAAATCAGTCTGTAGATAATGTACTACCCGTCTAATAAAATTTTAAGCAATGCTGAACTTAAAATTGTTTTGTTATATTTACTCTATAAGACCTTTTTACAAGAACACTACATTAGGATTATTTCACAACGACAAGTAGATCATCTAAAAAAAATTGTAATGTCGCTTGCAATTACTTTAATTAATGGCTGTGGAGAAAGTAAAAAAGTAAACAAACTCAGTAAATCTATTGGTAATCTTCAGACAATCTCACCAGTTTTGAAAGCCACTATCAGAGATTCCATCCAGAAGATCAATTTCTTCTTGAGCATTCCAATTCTTTTCCAAGACTGGAAAATTGTTGCTCTAGGAAGTCCAAAAACAAAATAAATGGGCAAATTTTAGTAACCTCTTTCTGTGGAATCTGATTTCTCAAACCTCCTAATACTTTGCGCACACCAAAAGTCATATTCCCTTGGATTTGTTCTGAATGCTGTAATTTTATCCCAGATTCTCATACTCCCTATTTCTCGAAGCAGTTCTCATTTCCATTGAGTGTTTAAGGAATCAAGATGTCCCTAATAACATATATGTAATTCGGAAAGTACAGCACTAGCCTAATGGTTGATACACTAGGTTCTAGACTGAGAGATCAGGCCTCAAGTCTGGATCATCACGTTGTGTTCTTGAGCAAGACACATTACTCTCAGAGTGTCTCTCTCCACCCAGATGTACCATAGGTACCAGTGGACTAAACCATCCCATCCAGGTATAGGCTTTGGCGGTGGGAATCACCACCTTTTATACTAATGGACTTAAATACTGCACAACCAGTAGTTAAAGCAGAGTGAATCTCTTAAAAATATTTAAGATGTAATATAAAACACACAGATATCTAGAAACCACCCTCTTACAACTATTTCATAGCAATGGTCACTGTGGTGATCTTTCTCCTCAGCTCCTCTGGAGAAACACTGAAAGTGAAAATTTAATATTCAGTGCAAGCTAAGGAAGCATTAAAAATGAATGCTTCCTCAACTTGGGCCTAAATAAACATTCCACCCAACTAACTACATTTTGTTTTCAGGATTGGAGATAACACAAAGAACTCTTTATTCATTGTAGGTATGTCAGCTGATCAGGTATGTTTTGGGCTTTATCCACACTTAACACATTTTTGTTTGAAAACAAACTTGCTGAAGCATAATTTTTGCCTGCAGTCCACACTGGAATAATAGAAAAAAAAATCAGTTTCATCGAAAACATAATACATTTGAAAACACTGTCCAGCAGACATTTGAACATAGAGCTCTATTGTATAAGTGAAGAGTGAAAATGCAGGTCTTCGAAAAATGCTGGCACCAGTCATATCTTTTTTGGATATGCAAATGATAGTTGTGGTGTTTTCTCATAGCATAGTTAATAGCGTTTTGACAAGCATTCTAGTGTGGATGGGGAAAACCCAGCAAAAACAGTGCCAGAATGGGGAGCAGTTTTGCCCAGAGAGCATAAGTAAGAGCACATCAGTTCAAAAATGTATTGGTGTGGAATACATTTAGGTATAATGACACCAAGAGCTGATTTGCATATTGTGGCCTTTAAGATCCTTATCAGCTTTTGAAACCAAGCTGACCTAGGAGGTGAAGTCTGGCAAAGGGCAGCCCTACTTGGTCCTCTGGACTAGGAAATTGTGTATGAGACCAATCATCCCAGCCCACTCAGTAAAAATTCACTTGATACAGAAACCCTCTGAAGTAGCCTTATGAGCCGTAAAGCAACAAATTTTGCGTAATTATAAGCCTAAGCTTGAGCTTATATACTTTTCATAAATTTTAAATTTACGTTTAAGTGGGTTAATAAGTTCCTTTAGTTTTTTTGGTCAGTGTTAAGCTTAAACAACTACGACGCGAAGAAGACCTATCCTCCACTTTGATTATAACAGATTCTAAACTACAAACACTCACACGCACAGCACCCACTTAGACAAACAAACCTCTAAACAAATGTCCACTGTAGGATGACATTGGCGACACCTTACAAATGGCTCTTTAACAACTCCTTGACACATCAGGCACTCGTTATTGTCTTCAGACATTAAATGACTCTCTGCTGAAAGAGAAATCGCTTTAACCGATTACAACACACAAAAATGCAACAGTTTTCGAAAAATAACTCACCTTCCACGAGAACCGCCATTTTGAGACCCGCGCGTCTTTTTCAATTGCTAGAGTCTGGGACGAGAACTCAGGCTCCTCGCTCCTGCCTTCAAAAAATGCTCCTCTTACTGGTGGGGGCCTCTCTTTAGCTTCTCCCTCTTCTTCTGGCTAGGCGTACCATGGCCATGTAGCATATGGCGGTTTATATAATTAATCAAATGAATGCGCGCGCTTTGATTGGTCAATCAGCTATGGTTTATTGTGCAGTAAACTCATGGAAATTTCGCTTGTCTTCTGAATTATTATATGAAAGCAACAGACCACAAGTTTCTATGGTTTAGAGGCATGATAAACCACTTGGGATGTTGGAAAATCACTCGAAGAATTCGTAAATCACGAGCCGCAGGCTCGTGATTTACGAATTCTTCTCGTGTTCTTCCAACATCCCGCGTGGTTTATCAGCCTATAGACCATAAAAATTTGTGGTCTATTGCTTAAATATATACTGTTTATACGGTTAATATTCATATCTGTTTACAAGTGTAAAGATTTCAGATTTTTGCATTTTTTTAGCTTTACATCTCTCGTATTTTTCAAATTCATTTTACAGTTACCAGGCCCCAAAAACCAGAGAATTAAAAAAATGTATCCTGTAAAAGTTCATCATCATCATCACAAGCAGTAATAGTAGTAAAATATCACAGGAAAACTAATTTTCAGGAAGAATTATTTGACACAACTTGCCGGGTTAGATTAGGTTAGCTTGTGTACCACATCCACCCCAAAGGGATTGTAATAAAGAGGAAGCTCTAGGGTAGACTTATCCAGACATCTTATAGTGTCTGAATTCCCGAAAAAGTAATCCCTACTGAAATCTTTTCTGCTGGGCTTCAGTCCTCGATTAGGGTTTTTCGGTGGAAGGTATTGTTAGTACATTACTTCGGGATTGGTACCTCAGGGAATCTTGATTTTCAGGATAAGAAGGAATCACATATGATTAGTAACGCTGCCTTTGATGTCTTTGATATGAAGCATAACGTTAACCGTTATGTCGTAAACTGCATAACAAGCTATACAGAAAAGAGTTTTAGAAGACATCTCCAGCTAGATCCCCATGAGATTATGGAGTTATGAAGCTTGTGTGTCGCCTGGCTTGTTTTCCACCGCAAATTTAAGGGGCTTCCATCCTTCAGGAGAGCTTATACTGCAAAGTTAACGGTTATCTTAATTTCTGTGGGAACCCAACCAAAGTTCTACAATTCGTAACTCCAGTAAACTCAAAAGTATCTATTTTCCATGAATACAGTGCTTACATCGAGTAAGTCAATAGGTGGGCAAAACCTTCCTTCATACACTATATTTATTATGCAACAAGATAACTCTTCACACCAACAGGGCTAGTAGTAAGAAAGACAGCTGAATTTATGAAGAACTGTGATTATTGTCTTGTACTGAATTACGTCTTCTTCTAAGTCTACGTCTCAATCTGTCAATTACTTGAGAAAACCGCTGGTGCATCACTTTCCGTGAAGTGTTCTCTGGTGAGGCCTGGAAACGAGTAGAAAAGAAAGCAGTCTATTAACCCAGACTTATGAAGTGGAATAGCGACTTCAATATCATAAATGATCCAGAAAACCGAGAGCCTGCATTATATAGACGTGATTCATTAATTCACCAAGTGCAGTGAGCAATAGTTTGCCACTCTCTACGCCCACATATGCATCATCCAGACGAAAAACATTGTTTGTAACAAGGAACTAATTGAGTATCAATGCATGCGATCAGAAGTTTACAATGATAGAAGTCGGTACACCTCGTATGAAGAGCTCGCGCTGCGGAAAGAAGTGACACAAGCACTCAAGAAGTAAAAGGAAAAGGCCTCGCCTGCAGTTTGTGTTTCACTGGTTAGCGACTTCTTTCCTCAGTTCTTTCGACACTTCTTCCTCTTTACCGGCTTATGTCTGGTTACTTCCTTGCTTGGAACAAACAACGGTCACTACCTTTTTATTCTTTAAATAACTTGTATATACTTGCATTCTCTATCAAGGGCATAATTTTTGTACTAACGACTTTTATTCTTTCTTCCAGTATTGCTCTTGTAATTTGTTCCTTGTGAAGCTTAGAATGAAGGAGTGTAACATAATGAGAAAGTTCTTCCTCTCTAGCCCTGAATTCTTGTCTTTCTTTCTGCAAAAGATGTGTGGATGGGACTATTTAGAATTATTTCACTGAAGTGTATATCATATAGATGTTTGTCTGGAGATATCAGCGAGAACAGGACCTAGCGTGCAATGAACGTCAGTAAAATCACATTACCATTTTTGCTTTAAGCTTTTCATTCAACACAATAAATTTGCGTTCCTCCGCACGCAAAGCCTCTCTCACATCACGCAGTTCGTACTTCATATTCATGATTTTATTCTTTAGGTTCTTATTCTCTATAATCAGGACACAGTTACGGTGCTTCGTCTGCTGTAGGAGCAAATCTACGAAAAAAAATTAAAGTAAACGTGACAAAGATTTAGCCCACCATCCTCATTCCTAGGGTAGTCTCTCAATCCTCCAGGGATGGTAAGGGGAGATCCTGGAAGCGAGACTGCGGGTTACAGCATCGAGACTTCGATATAATTCGTGGTAATTACAAGGTGCAAAGTGTGAATAATGTTGAACTCTCTTTAGCCACAAAGGCCACATTCCGATTTCATCCTCACAGGTCTGTTTGAAGCCCTTGGAAAAGCCTTTTGATGAGAATGTAAGTCCGAATTGTGTGAACGTGTAAACGGACTCCCTGCAGTACGCATTACTTTTTTATGTGTCGTTGTAACACGTATTTTCAATTCCCAATCAGCACTTTACACCATTTTCAAATTTTTCATTGTGTACAATTATAACTGATCATGTAGCTCACAAACAGACGAACATAGATCGAAAAATTCGAAACCAAAATTAAAAGGCGTAAGAAAAAAACTAGTATCGTATTAAAAAACTATCAAGGAGAAATGAAGTTTTTTACAGGGATGAACGAAGCGGCATTGCATTGCCTCCAGAGTGAATGGATCTTTAATTGCTAACTTCGTTTTCAACTTCTAACTAAGACGTATAGTCGCAAACAGTGTTACTAGAGGAAAAACCGAACCCAAAGTCAGTCACAGATCGATGTACTGACTTACCACAGAATTCATACTTCTGATCACTGTTGAGAAGATCCCAGTCTAACGGCCGCATGCTGTCCACCATGATTGTATTTCTGCATGAAAATGTGAATGGATATATGTAAAACAATGTAATACATAATGCACATCCTCAATTTGAAATCTGGGACGCCTTATGAAGAGATTTTGCGTCAATCAGATACCTGGTTAAATTGCCAGTGCCTTTATTATAAAAAAATATCCCAAGCTGAATGCAACAATATTTCAACTGTGGATATTTTTAATTTTATTTTAGCAGAATAAATAGAATTTTATACTAGTTTGATGTATTTTATTATTATATATTTTTTTATGTGTAGGTAGGAATTTTTATAGTTTGAATTTTTTAAACATGTAGTATATAACACAAGTAATTCAGCTTATAGTTGCAAGTTATGAGTTTAATAAACGATTTATCTCTCATCTCTCTCTCTCGCAGCAATAAAAAGTACTGTTTGCTGAGTTAAGGACTGAGAAATCAATACATTTTCAAATTTAATTTTCACTAAGCTTCAACAGGGGGAAAGCATGAAATGCTAGTCACACGATTGAATCAATTAAATCATTCATTGTGGTTATTACAAAATTTATTACAAGAAACAAACATACCTGAATCAGCCTTTGCACATCACAAATGACTCGCTGCTTCTTTTGTGACGTCACAAAGTTTTTTTTCTTTTGTTGCGCGACAGGAGCGGGGCCCCTGGGTGCGCGAGCAAACTTTTCCACTTCAATATATTTTACGAGAGTTCTACAACAGTTCAATAAATTAAACAACTCACTTAAGTTCACTTTTGCTGTTTATTGATCAATATTAGATTTTTGTACAGAACAGGAAATTAAAAAAATTCTAGTATCTAGACCATCTGGGCCAACGTAGAATTTTTATTTCAGGAAAAGATGCCTCGATTCAACCGGTTGGGCTTGACTGTGAAAACGAATCCAACTCGGAAGCTGCAAACATTACTTCAAATTGACGGTTTTCTGATTGCAACCAAGCAAAGTAATCTAGTGATTCGAGTGAGTTTGAAAAACGTAACTCTCTTGTTTAAAACATTTTGAAAAAACGAGATGGTCTGGGTACTAGATCACACACAGAATAACTAGTGACTGGCTTTATTGTATGCCACCTGTGAGTAAATAACCAAAGTTTACACAGATCTCATGGATCAAAGTTTGAAAAATCACTTTGCTCCATAAACAAAAACGCTAGAAACTTTTCACACTTTCGCTGAGTTGTCTTCGTAACCGTTCAGATTTTGTTTTGGGAAAATTCTAATTCCCGCTCATGCTAGAGAGAGCGGAGCGTAGATAGTCAAATCGGTTCAACGAATTTATCATCGACTTGGAATATCACAATATTCAATGCAAGAAATTTGTCAGCTATTTCCTCGTGATTGCAACTCATTGTTGTGAACGGTCGAAGCCAGTTGCCGAGCTGACAGTGTGGTCGGAGAAGACAGAATTTTTTTTGGATTGAGAAACAAGAGGTTAGTAATATTTTGGAAAGCATCATGATAGTTTCAGTGCCGTGTTTTTGTATTCTTCCCACAGCTAGAGTCTAGATATTACAAACGTTTAAGCAGCTAAGTATAAAGGTTTCATCTAAATCCAACAAACGGCGTCAATAACATTGTTGCAACGCATCTTTTGCAGTGAAGTCAGTGTTTGAAAGTAGACTGAAATGAATAGACAGATGTTTCTCTTACACAGCTATTAGTGGCCGGCCGTGTTCTGACAATCAAAAGTCAAAACATTACAAGTTGATTATAACGTGTGCAAATATGGTGATGCTGTAAGATCAGCATATGAAAGTATTAAATAAAGAGAAAAGCGGGGAGACGGCTGTTTCTAACTATAAAAATGTGTGTAGGAAAAATTCCACCCAAAAGGCGAGTTAGAAGTACTCAACAAGTTTTTTGCTTGGTTAAACTTGGTGTATTAGTATACTAAAAGCCCGGTTGGAAACGCTATAAATTTTAATTTTCCAACAACTGACATTTCATCCTCCTTTGCAGATCTACATTTCAATTATTGACGAGAATTG